ACTAACGATTGCATTCTATTCATGAACTAAGGAAATAGAATTATAGTGTTCTCCTACCCTTCGTGGGAAAAGAACCAGTCTCTCATTTTATTGAGACTCCTCCTTAAAACACAGCTCCTCCTTCCAGGGACAGCCCTTTGTAGCTATGAATCCTCTCTTCAGTATCTTGCTCTCTGCAGGCAGAGGTACTCTCTGTGCCCAGAAAATAATACCATATGTTATTTGCAGAAGCGTGGGGTGTTAGGAGACTGTGCACTCACCCAAGCCTGGTTTTTTGACCCCATTAATTTTTATGGAGACTGATTCAACAGGAAGCCAAGTTGGCTGCTCCAGTTTGGCCAAGCAGCCTGGTGCAGCACATCCCCATCACTGCTGGCACATGGACCAGGATGAGGGCTGGGCAGCATTTCTTTGTGATCAGGTTCCAGGCTGGGAAGGAGTTCCTTGTGCTCCTCTCTCATTTCCCTGGGAAGGGATGAAGCACGATAAAAGAGTGAAATCCCAAAATGCCCGTGGGTTCCCTTGTGCTGCTGAGCACCCTCTTTGCAGCTCCTGCCTTGATGGAAGCTGCCAAAGCTCACAGAGCAGAGCGCAGCAGCACACACCCCACAGGTCGGCAGTGAGGCACAAGGAGGTGCCTGTCAGCCTCTCACCTGCCTCAGGCTAAGCTCAGCTCTGCCAGCTCTCCCCCAGGCATCCTCCTGGGCCTCCCCTGCATCTTACCTGCAGAGCTGCACCTCTGCCTGCAGACACTTTCTGGTTCATCCCGGTGTGACGTTCTCATGACAGAGTCCATCAATGTCATCAAGCAGTGTTGCAAGATGCACCATGGGGAGGTAGAGGTAGCCCAAAATCCCCTCAGGAGGTGCCAAGGTTGCCCCTTCAACAGTCTTTTTAGTTTGCTTTGGTGTTTTTTGCTTCCTTGATCACCAAAGTCACCACATAGATCGCTGGATGTTCAGCTCCTCCGGGATTATGATCATGTGAAATGAAATGGAATAAAATAAAGTGTATAAAAGAAAGGGAATGCATTGGAGACTATCACAATGACCTGGAAGAAAAGACATAAGAAAATGAGCCTTGTTTAATGATTGTTTATAGTGGCAGCCCAAATTTTAATCAGTTAACTTATGAGCCCATTACTTGAAGATGCAAAGGGCCTGTGGAACAGCATTCCTTCCTTTCTCAGAGGAGCTGCGGGGTATCTGCTGATGTCTTGGATGCTCTCCTTCCTCACAGAGGCTTTTAAAGCACATTTCTGACTGCAGAAGGCATGGTTAAATCTTACACACGTACTCTGTGTAAGCTCTTGGGTACAGTTTCATTCTGTGACCCCCTAGGAGACCTCATTGACCTTCCCACAGCGTCTTGAGCACCAGGAGTGCTCAGTCAGCCTTTCTATTGCCAGGCTTCTTCAGTGCTACACTTAGGAACACAGAAAGCAAATAGATTTATTGATAGAACTATAATCAGAAGGCATAGGCAGGATGATAACGTGGTCAAATGATCCAATTACTTAAAATTCAAGGCATACTGGAGAGCCTCAGGGACTGGGAAGCTGCAGGCAGCCAGCCAGCCCATTGGACACACCCTTGGCAGTGGGGTGGGTGCTGTGCATGACAAGGGTTTGAGGAGGTTCTCTTCAGGGTAGGGCCTTTCTGTCTCACAAGAGCCAAAGGTGCTCTCTGTGCCCAGAAAATAACACCATTGGTACCCTCACCTAACACACCCCCTGAGCCAAGCAGGGATGTCACTGTTTGGTTCTGGTTTAACACAAGAGAGCCCCACTCTTGCATTTTATAATGCTTCAGGAAGTGAAGGCACCTTTACAGGTTTTCATTCAATCCAATGCATTAAGTGCTGTTCATTATGCATTTATTACCTCACTGGTGGATCCTACTGAAGTCTGAGCTGTTCTCAGAGGCTGCATTTGCCTGGGCACACACGTTTGGAGTACATGCCTCACCTTCTTCACTGCAATTTGTCCTTTTGGAATTTGGCAGCATGGTCCAAATGGGCAGACTTTTGCTTCCTCCAGTTCGAAAAAAGGTGTTGGAATACTATCATTTTCCCTGATAAGAGGAGCACTATAAATTAAAAAGAGCCAGCAACGCAGGCACATTAATCTTCCTAATGCAATCCTACCTTTCTCACTTCCTGACATATATTTGATGTTGACTTAATTGTGCAGCCTTAAAGTAGGATTTGAGTGTATAAGTGCAAAAGCAGTAATGAACTGTGTCTGCTGAAAACTGTGCAAGGAGTGGATGATCCTTTCAGCAAGATCAGGGTGGCAAGTTTGGTGTTTTTTCAGCATCCCTCTAGCTAGCCCTGAGAATCAGGCTTCACACAGGGGATCCTATTAGGCTTTGGAGCATTTGTGTCATCCTGGGGGAGTCTTTTTTCTTCTTCAGAATGATCTGACCCCAGCACAAGCAGCACGTGGTCCTTGGGAAGAAAGGCTGGCTGAAATTTTAGAATGGGGTACAGAAAAATCTCGGTTCTCAGTTTTGCTGGAAGAGGTCAGGAAAGTCATTTTGGGTCTTTGTGTTTTGGAAGGTATCAGAAGATGTAAATAAATGCCTAGTGGGCTCTGAAGCAGTGTTTGAAATCAGTGGGAAATAGGTCTCTGAGATACCAGAAATCCCACACAAAGTGTTTGTGTGCATCTAGAAGCATTTAAACACCTTGAAAAATATGTCTCTAAAGTGTCTAACTCTGAGCATAGGTTCCTGCATCCCCTAGGTATTCTTGAAACTGCATCCAAAGTTGCTGAGATTTCCCCTAAAGAGCACCCTTTTGTTGTAATTTTCCCGTTGGCTTAATTTTCTCTTGACTTGAAACATAATATATATTAACCTTCACTCATTTTTCTGTAGCAAAATGTAGAAAAGTGAAGCTGTTTCTTAGCTGGTTTATTACAAAAAAAAAAGGAGCATATGGCTGATTGTGTCCCATCTGAAATGCAAATGGTAGAGCTACGTGGAAAGAATTGCTATTACTTGAGCAGTAAATGTTTCCTAATGAAGTGAGTTTGACTAAGGTGGGAAGCTGGAAATGGCTGCAGGAAGAAATGATGATGGTTAATATTTCAGTGGAGCAGAACATTCTTATTCTGCTGATAAGGAGATTCTTGGGAAATGCACTGGATTTTTTTTTCTTATATTCTCTATGTTTATCAGTGTGGGGAAATTGCTACACACAGGGAGCTAGACGCTTTTCTTCGAGTTATGAAATCATGTAATTTAATTTATAACCACAGCTTTTCACCGCTGGCCTCTTTTTAAACTGAAGTTTTCTGTATTTAGTGAACATTTGGGGTAAATAGACCTACCCAGTGTAAAACAAAAAATTCTAAAAGACAACTACTGGTTCCACTGTTTTCTATTACCCTGGGCACATTCCTGGAGGCCAGAAGCCAAACAGGGTGATAAAGAGATCTGACCCAAACTCTCCAATTTCCTTCTTCCTCTTTCCAGTTTTGTGTATATCCCTCTACACCTCCAGTAGTCAAAGGTGTCCAGATGTCTGCTGCAAATGGGAGGTGGACTGACTTTTAAACACTTTCTTAAATCAGGCAGCGAGGCTGGAGGCTTGACATTTCCATTACTTAGCTTTCCAAAGGGAGAGCTGTGGAGCTGGCACTGCCAGGTTCAGCACGACCAGTGGGCTGGAGATAGAGCATCAATGGCATGGCTTTGCCTTAATGTCAGAAGGAGCCAGGAAGAGTTTGGATAGCAGCATGTGCACAATTACGTGCTCAGAAGAGCTGGAGCAGCTGCCAGGTTAGACCTCTGGCTTTGTCCCCAAGCAAGATCACGATGAGTTTGCTGAGGCTGAGCTGTCTGTTAGGTGGCACAGTTGGGGGACAGAAGATTAGCGTGCCTTTCCCCTGCCGATGCCCAAGGCTGTCTGACATTGCTAATGATAATGAAATAGGAGGAACCGAAAGAAAAGAGTCTGCAGCCTGCTGTCAATGGAAACAACTAGGTTTCTCCATCTTAGAAGCAGTGGCAAGGCTTGCTGGGATCAGGATGTGTCCACATTAGTGTGTTAGTTCGGATCCAGAGCAGACTGTGGAAGTGAATACCTCCCTGTGCTCTGGCTCACATCACAGGGCAGCCCAGGAGCTCACAAACTGGGTTCTGGAGTCTCTGGAGATGGCCCTAAGCAATCTGAGGATGGGGCCATCACTGCCCTGCCTGCATTAGCCCACACTGTGCTCCTGGACATGGGAGCCTTCACCCCTCACAGGGCAGGACACCAGGTCAGGAGACCTTCCTGGGTAACACCTGTGTAAGGCTTTTTGCTTGCTGAGCTGTCCAAGTGCTTCAGAAAGTGCTTGTGCACAAAGTCTTCCCTAAACCAGCATTCCCCTGCTTTTAATAGTGAGTAGCCTCTGTGTCCAGGAGCTGGGGAGATCCCACCAGCCCGAGGCACAGAGAGAGTGTGGTCACATCCCTGCTCCAGTCTCAGTCTTGGCAGGTGGTTTCATCCCAGTGGGGTGAAGTGAGGCTTCAGTTTCACATCTGTTACAGTCACAGGGCCCCTAGGTGCTGTAATTATTTTCAGAATTAAATCATAAATCAATATAAACCCACATTAATGTGATATTCCATAAAATGGATGGCACCTGAACAGAGGAGGATGTTGTGGCTCTTCACTTTGCAGGAGGGCTCAGCAGCTTGCTTTATCTGCATATCTCTTTGGTTTACAGGGGATTACAAGTGGTAATGCTGTGGTACAGTTTTTTCCATGTAAAACACACTTCTTTTATCTTTCTTTTTGCTTGCTTTTATGTGCTTCTTCCCTCTCCCTGCATCTCATTTCCATCAAGAAATACAAATGACCTCTTGACAGAACTTTCTGCTTTCATTATGTTGATTTGCATTGTACAGTCAGGATAATACAAACACTTATATTTCTGAGATGTATTTATGATGTCTTGAAAAAGTTTCTCATATTAGCCTCTTCTTTTTTCTCTTTCTATATCTTTTCAGGTGTGTGTGCAACATTGACTGTTCTCAAACCAACTTCAATCCTCTTTGTGCTTCCGATGGGAAATCTTATGATAATGCATGTCAAATCAAAGAGGCATCATGCCAGAAACAGGAGAAAATTGAAGTCATGTCTTTGGGTCGATGTCAAGGTAACTCTCATAACAAAACTCATTTCAAAGAATGTTTTCAATTTTTGTTCAGGGAGAAAAAAACCAAAAAAAACAGAACCAGGGCTGGCTTCTTATTTGGTGATGTTATATTTCCATTAGACTGCTGCAGTTGATACTGTAGGGCACAGGCTGTGGGGAGAGGCAGAGCCTTCCATGATGCAGACACAGCGAGGCATGAGAGGGGGGCACCACTCCTAACCCTGCCCCCAGCAGCAGCAGGGCACTGCCCAGCCCTGCACTGGGCTCTGCATCACTCCTGCCCCGAGCAGCTTGCCCAGAGCTCTGTCTGCCAGGCAGCAGCTGGAGCAGGACAGTGGGAGTGCCCCTCAGATACATTTTGGCACCCAGGATGGACCCTCTGGTGCTCCCGTAACTGGAGCAGCATGAGGCAGTCTCTGGAGATTCCCTGAAGAGGCGCTCCCAAACACAGTGCCTGGGAGGTTCTTCAGGTGACCCTTGGTGGGCTCCATGATGCCCAAGATGCCTGGAAGGAAGTTTTCCAGTCATGGCTTGAGGCTCTCCCTGTTCCTCCAGTGCTTCTCTGTGCCCATCTCTTGGGCTGCTATATCACCTGTGACCCTTGAGCTGACTTTAAAAACCCAGTTTTTCTCTAAAATGAAAATGAAGAGAATTTGCCTTTCAATAGCTCCTATAAATAAAGTGTCTGCTGAGGCTCAGACTCTCAATAGCTTTTTTCCTTAGTTTCTGACCCATAAATCCTCAGTACATCTACTTACAAGGCCACAGTATACAGGTGTATTAAACACATTCCAGTTTACTCCTGTCTCTTTAAAGTTAACCACCCTAAGTGGCAGTTTATTTCAGGGTACATATTAAAACTCCCCAATTACTTCAAGTAGAGCAGAAATGACAACTCCTGCTTCAGACTGATATATTTATCCCAGCTGCAATCTGTTATCACATATTGTTAGAAAAAAGATCCTGCTGTTTTCACCTGGCAGGCCCAGGAGAGCCTTGCAGCCAGCAGAGATGATGTGTGTGCAAGGGAAGTTAGCTCTGCCTGGGCACTGTGCTGGGGGCACGGGCTGTATCGAGTCCAGGCTCCCCAGGCAACTCAACACATTTCTTTTCACACAGACAATACTACAACAACTACAAAATCAGAAGATGGGCATTATGCGAGGACAGATTATGCAGGTACAGTTCCTATTCTCTGAGAATCACAATTCACAGATCTGTGTAAGTCTCTTTTTTCCTTCATTTGCTGAGGTGTTCTCATCTTCTAGTATGGTTTTCCCGGTTTACTCTATGAAAACACTGTCTTTCCTTACTCTTTCTTTTGCTACAAACTCTCTTTTTAATAAATGGGCTGCTTCTATTTTTGTCAGCCTACAACTACTCTGGCCATAAAACACCTGTTGTGACGGAGGAAATAAGTACTGTAAATTATTTGCCGGAATTAGCAGACATTATTGAAAATTACAGAATCAGTGCACTAGATTATGCATATTTTTGTCATGATATACAGGTTTAAGGAAGTGAAAATCCAGCTCATAGCACTGCTGGGATACCATGAAACGCTGCCATAATAGATATTACCTGTCAGCATTTAACTATGAAGTTAATAAGGTTCTTAAAATGTGGGGGGTTTAAGTGATAAATGGGTTTAATTTATTTGGAAGCTATAGTAAAATATAATGGCTGAATAGCCCTATATGGCACTTGAAATTAAAAACATGTAAATACTAGTGAGGTTTGGGAGACATTTTTTACACCCTTTGCCTGGCAGGATTGATTTAGAAATTGAACGTGTGCGCGCGCACGTGCATGCAAATGTTCACAGCTCACACTGAGAACGAAAGCCTCTGGGAAGGTCTGGTGAAAATGGGTCAGGTGATGCACTCATTGCTTCAGTTTCGTGGTATTTCTGTGGTTTTGAAGTGTTTGGAGAGAGTAGGTGTGGATTGCTGGGTTTGCTGAGCTGCGTGGCTCGGGTGAAACCCAGGTGACGGTTCCACAGGTGTGAACATTTCCTGCTGGGAGAGTGCTGGGGCAGTATTTAATCCAGCTGGTCATCTCCTGTGCCATCCCTGTGACAGTGGGGTACCCAGCCTTTGAAATGATTGTTCTGTTCCTACTTAAAACAGTGTGTGATGATTAAAACATAGAGCTCTGAATAAGTGATGTCTCGGTGAGGCAGAGCAGTGCGAGGCGTTGGGGGTTGCTGCAGTGGAGGAGTAGAAGTTGCTGTGGAAAGAAAATGCTGGGATAAATTTCGATTTCTAAAATATCAAGCCATGGTCCAGGTGTTTCCTACTGCCAAGGAGCCCTTCCATTGGTGAAGACAGGGACATGCAAAGCAAAAAGTCTTCGGTGTCTTTCCTCCAAACTCTTGCTTACCCTCAGCTTTTTGTGGGAGGTAGTAGTCAGTTTTCTTAAAAGGCTGGAAAGGCTGATGTTGTGTCCTGTGGGGACAGGGGGCAGGAGATAAGGCCAAGTAGGCCAAAATGATTTATTTTAAGTTAGAAATAAGGCCAAGTAATGTTATTTTAAATCTTTTCTTTTTCTTGCTGGAGAGCTGAGGAGAGCACAGGCTGAGATGAAGGCCTGGAGCCCCTTTTCAGTGTGCAGCCTGTCCTGTGCTGCTGTGCCTGGTGCATTTGCTTTAGGATGGCAGGGACCCACATCAGCTAGAGAAGAGACAGCAGGAGTTGTAACAAGAAGGGAGGGAAAGGCAGGCTGGGGATTAGGGAGGAGGAGGAGATCACAGTGGTGACAAAAGAAAGCCATGTCATGGGTCATGGAGGAAGAGGAGCACAAAAGGCACCTTGAGGTCAAGTGAGCAGGAGAAAGAAAACAGCTCTTGCTTAGGAAAGATGATATTTCAGCCCACATTCAAGAGGGGAGGTGGTGGGTAGAAGAAAATTGACTGCAGTAAAGTGTTGTCAGGGGTTGGGAGCCAAGGAGAGAGGAATCTGGGTTACCTGACAGGGAGGAGGGCAGAGCCAGGGCACAGAGGAGCAGGTCTGTAGTGGAGATGGTCTCCAAGCACCAGGAGGTCAGAAGGAGTGGGAGAACAGATGGTCCAGTGAGGGATGACAAAGACCTGTGGAAAGGACACATGGCACCTTCCTCCCCTACAGCCGTGGGAGTGATGGAGACATCCTGAATCAGCAGGAACATCCAGTAGGTACCTCAGGCACAGGAAAACACCATTGTTGCTCCTGAGAAAGCCACTTCTTGGGGCTTCTGGTGTGGCTCAGGCCTCACTGGGCTTCTCAAGGGTGGTGACTGTGTTCCCTGGGCAGGTCCCACCAGGTTCTATCCACTGATTTAACCTCAGCCACAGTCTCCTGTGCTAGCTGAGGTTAAAATTTGTGTGCACCTATTCCTCTGGCTTAAATTTTTCATTTTTACATATAGTAACAGCATGTAGGGTGAAAATTGCTAGTTCATGCAGGGCAGTCCACTTGTCTCCAGTGTCCCCAAATGTCTGGGGGCATAACCCTGTCAGGAGACCTTAGGGGAATGGGACTGCTGTGTCAAAAAGCTGCAGCAAATCCAGCCTTCTGGAAGTAATGAGGGGAAAGGAAGGCAGCAGTATAAAACTGAGGCTCAGTGAACATTCATGCATCAGTGTTTGCCAGACAGGAAGCTCTGTGCCATCCTCATGTTCTTTCAGCTGCAGAAACATTTGATGGGGATGGCTGTGGTAAGAATGTGGTGTGTTCTACTTTTTTCCCCACCTTCATATCTCCTCAGACAGGAAATGCTGCCCTAACCATGAGGAGCTTTGTGTGAAAAAGCAACAGTTCCTCAGCCTCTGAAGCAATTTCCTTGAGCCTGCAGCTTTCCACAGAATACCTTTGTTCTCTACTGTTTAATGGCACTAAAAATCGCCGAGGCCGTGAGCACCGCACGCTTTTAAAAACATTGGCTTGTATGGACGGCCTTTCCCAGGGGAGAGTATAGCAGTGGGCTATAATTGATGCTGTCAATTATGCTAATGCAGCCAAATGCTCTTTGCAGGGACTGTGGTAGCTGAGCAGTGCTGGTTTCTCCATAACCACCCCCACACACCCACCACGGGGGCCAGCAAATGCAGCAGCTCTGCAAACAGCCACAAGTCCCAAAGCCCAGCTGAGTTTTCCCACATCCAACTATTCAAACTGTCTGTTGCATCAGCATCTTTGCTCCCTCCTGTTCTTGCAAGCCTGCTGGTGCTCACCAATAACAGACAGATCTTTGGTTTGCAAAGCCGAGGTTACTCGTTCCTTTGGGGGGGAAATCTTCGCAGTAGGTTTGCATCGCCTCGGTTTCTACAGGCAAGATTTATGCCAGCACTCTCAAGTGCCAGACCAATATCACCCAAAAAGCAGTACCCTCTTTTACAACAAAGCAAACCTGAGAAGAGTGAGCTGTAGGAGGCCCTTCTCTGACCCTGTCCTGCCTGTCCAGGGTCACCATTCTGCCCTTGCCATGGCTGCCTGTGCCCTGCACGTCAATACGGAGTCTGTACACTTGTGCATTTGTGCCTCTGTGCAGTTCTGGCCTCTCCTCCTTCTGAAACCCCAAGGTATTTATTAGACTTGGGGAGATTTTCACTCTCCTCAACAAATGGCAGATCGTTGACCTTGATCAAGTTTGTGCAGTGAGATTTGGTTTTACTGAATAAATGAATGGGTGCGATTTTTCCCTCAAATCCAATAGAAATACACTTTATCTTGCAATTTCCATGAAAGAGCATTTTGAAGCATTTTAAGTGTAATGTATGTTTTAGAATGTAGTGTCTGAGCTGAAAGTCCCATGATGGATGTTTTCTTGAATTTCCCCATTATATGCATAAATAAGGCTGTTTTGGTGGCATTTTGGAATTCAGAGGCCAGGCAATCAAGGGGTTCTCATCTTGTTAATCCATTTGCCTATTTGTATTCTTCAGTATTTATAGTCTCTTCTTAAGATCTGGATATTAGCAATTATCCCCCTAATGACTTTATCCTTTCTCATTATCAAATTACAGAGGGGTTTTTTTCAAGCCATTTTGAGCACCATAAGGAATAAGTCAGTATGGATGTGCCATATTTCAATGTTATATATTCATGAAAATTGTCGGTGAAGACACTGACAAATTTGACAGACCTATTCTATAATATCATCTTCCAGACCAGACAAACCTCCCCATATGAGCATTGATTAGATCAAGTCTCAGCAGCTGAATGCCAGCAGCGCACAGAAGCTGATAGAAAGGGGGAGGAGATATTTTCAGCCCAAATAGTCTCTTTTGGTGAAAAATGTGCATCTACAAGTGGTCAGTTTGAGCTGTATTTTTGGGTTCCTCCAGGGCAGTAAACTCTCCCTTGGCAGCAGCCTCGGGTGGTGCCTTTGGGCTCTTGGGAGTCCTGGGACTCTCCTGCAGGCAGTGCCTCGCCTGTCATGCCAGTGCTGTTGCTGTGCCCAAAACTGATAACGAGCACAAAATGCTGCACGTCTGCTCATGGCTGCTCTGTTCCCTGCTCACCCTCCTGGCTTCCCATGGGATTTCAAACCTGCATGACAGTCTTGGATCCTTGTCAGAGCGCTTCCTGGCACCGGGGCCGTCCTGGCACTCCCGGGGCTGCTCGGCCGAGTAATCCAGCAGATGGATGTGTTGCCCAAGCAAACTCACAGCTCCACCAAAAAGGGCAAAATCCATCTGTGTCAACACATCATCTTCCCTTGGCTGGGGCAGGGCTGTGGGATGAAGGCCATGACAGCCATTGCACATTACAAGGATAAAGGAGAGTCTCGGACTCTTCAATGAGTCCCTTCAAAAGTCCAAGAGTCTTGGACTCCAAAATAAATACAATTCAGTCACAGTCGTCTTCATTGTCTGTAACAGGCCTGGAGAGTAGCCAGGAATCAGAACAGCAGTGCTGAATTTCTATAGTGACAATTTTTAATTCCCCCCTCTGGACTAAAATGTGAGAACTTCGGACTAGATTCCTTCTCCAGATCATAACATTTTCAAAGTAGGTTAAGTTTGGAGTGTAAACCACTTGACATTGTCCGTTTAAATTAAATTTTGTGTCTACTAGTATGTCAGCCATTTGCTGAACTGCTGAAGAATAATAAAGCCCCAGAGCTTATCTATGGGATATAAACTGTGGTGCATTTTTGCTCTGCCTTTGTGAACCAGGTTTTCCTTTCTTAACGGAATT